TTATTAAAAAAAAATATCTTCATTATTTTTGATTCGCATTCTTGTGATTAAAAAATGATCTTTTTCCAATTTCAAACATAAAAATATTAGCGAAACGATTTATTCATTAATATAATATAAATAAACTATTTACTAGTTATGGTAATGGGTGAATTCGAATCTTTTAAGAATATATTTTATTTAATTAGACCTCGAGTGAATCTATACAAATTAATTGTTTTTGTTTTCATTTAACATCACTGTCACAAATGATATTGCTTTTTAGTTGACACCAATATGAAAAGTTTTGAGCTTTATGGTTAATTCATTTTTTATTTGTGCTTAATCTATTTTATTTAAATATAATAATTGCCATATTAACAATAAATTTCCATCCTTCATTATAAAAATAGGAATGAACGTAATCTAGTATGTATGGATAAGCCTCATAAAAATAAAAAATAATAAAAAAGTGAGAAAGAGTAAGTTAAATCTCTAGTGTATCGTACATCTCCACTCAAAAAGTATATATAATCAAACTAATATCATGTGCTTGTAATGTGACCTATCTACATCAGCATCAAACAAGGTTTTCTTTAGTACAACAATTATGATCTGAAATAGCTATCATGTGCTTGTCATGTGATAAGGTAACTCGTATGATATTAAATCTTAGGTAGGTGGCCATCATGGTTTGAACACATTTCCTCTGAGCTCTTTGCTATTTACATCAACTACTAAGTTATCCCATCATGATGATTTCCTGATTAGATATTTATTACATATTCATCTTTTGTTCAATTTTCTTTATATTTTTTTACCATAACAATGAAACCCCTACCTTCAACCAACGAAAAAGAATCCAAGAATAGAAGAAGAGTTCTTTTGAAATCTAAGAAAAGCAGACACTTCTTAGCCAAAAAATGCAACATATCTCTTCCCTTTTAAATTATGTTGATGTCAAATCCCAAAATCTTAGGTGAAAGTAACAAAATTAAGAAAAATTGATGCTCATCAAAGTGCTACCTGGCTTTGTCATCACTTCCAATTCCAAAAATGTAAGGTATTGAGGTGAAGGTGGCATTGAAGAATTCTTCATTCACTATAATCATAGCCTTCATCATCATCATCAAGCTCCACTTCAGCATCATCAGCTCTGCCCATGAGGGTGAGAAATAGTAGAACTGCCACTAACTGCGTTGCAACAAAATACTTGGCTCTCCTTCTGAATGTTTTCTCCTCCTTCGTCTTTTCTTTCTTTGTCTTCGTCTTCGGCTTCGAGCCTATTGAACGATGCATCAGATATATTCAGAAAATGATAGGTTGAATGTAATTTCAGATAGTGCTTCAGAAACATCATGGTCTATGCAGCTTAATTAGGCATTCAATGCCCAGAAACATGATGTAGAAATTTTCTTACAGTTATCCAAAGAAAAGACTTAGATTTCCACGACTGAATTTCGGTAAGTTGAACTAAAAGAAGGCTATGATAGGGTGGGTTTACAATCCTATTGCACAACATGCAGATAAAATCATAGATACGTCATCTTGAGGTACCAGAGAAATCTAGGACTAAGAAGAGTATTGTGGCCACTCAATAAAATTGTAACTAATGTGGGTTTAGATCGGTGAATAGATACGACGTGCTAAGTGAAATAATGTCTAGGAAAAGGTGGAAGAAAGATAGATATTACAACTCTCACAACAGAAGAAGAAAGAGAAGGGAGACAGCACCAGAAACAACAGAAGAATAATACCGAAAATTTCTAAAAGTGAACTCTTACACACTCGCAATGGCAAAGAAGAACAAAACCAATAAAAAAGGATGAACAAACGGAGACCATATAATATCTCTGAAGATGAACTAAGGACTATTTAAAATGCTTTAGCAATATAACATCATGGTGCAGTAAACTAATTTCATTTTCTTCAGAATGTAAAGAAAAACAGTTGATAAAGTATAAAATTATGTCAAACATTCAAAACATCTTACTCCAATTATAAGGACCCCTTCTTGGTGCTGATGATGAGGCCCCTGAACCGGAATGTGCCGAGGAAGATGATGGTGGCGAGGATGTACCGACTTCTATCAACTCTGTCATATACTTCTCGGCATATCGTACGAGATTACCATGCTCTAAAATTTTACTACGAAGCACTGACGTTTCCTAAAATGCAGATAATATCAACAAGGCCCAAAGTAAGAACTCCACATTTATTGAAAAGAAAGAAAGCAAGCAATGTTCGGGGTAATGCATTATATATCATACAAAGATCAAGGTCTAATGAGAAAGGATATATTAATAAGCTGACAGTGGAAACTATTGCAGAATTTATTATTTTTTCCAATGGATAAGAAAATTAAGTAATGAAAGACAAGATTCAAAAGAAGGGAAGATAAATCTCAGCCACCATAGCAGTAAGAAATCACTTCATGGGTTATAAGCATTTTATACATTTTGTAACTTCTTAATATGCTCAATTTTCCTTTTTTTTTTTTAGATAAGAGAGATAAGAATATGCTCATTTCTCTTAAATTATATTAGTCCCCATTCCTCTTCATAGTGTGTACAAAAAGTAATAATGATAACCATATCAGAGGATACGCTAAGGATCTGTATACATAAATATGTGAATAAAAATAAAGTTCAAGATATTGACAAATGAGATAGAAAAATCCACGTAAAAACTGCAAATAAGGTTTCTTACGACCTATATTTCTCTCAAATAAGCAGGCAGTTTGCTACTATGAACGGTTAATACTTTAAAAGAATAAGATGCTTCCTATTTATTATAACTAAACAATGATTTGAAGATAACTCACAGGTAGTGCTTGAAGGGCAAATAGTACATGCCCTAGAACAAGTGCATCTAAACTGGATGGCCTGCTATATGATAAGGTGATGCGTCACTAAATAATTAGGATTGTTGAAAAAAAATATCATATACAATGGGATATCCAGAGCCTCAGAGATTCACCTGTTCTCAAATAAAAAATTCTGCTCTCCTAACCTAGTGGACAAAGCTCCATAAGCGAGATTTGCGTTTCTATAAATCTGTTTCAATAAATAGAATCAACTCAAGATATCAATAAAGAGAAAATAAAAACTCAAAGAGTCATTCATCCGTGATCCATCACATTGTGGCCTCTATCAATTGCATTCTTCATCAAGTATTAAGGAAAAGATGGGGAAAATATGATCGGCAAGAGAGCATATGCAAGTCAAAGCAACCATAATTATAAATATGAAAAGCAATAACAGATTATGACCTGCTCTTCTCTTCGCTCAGGATTTTCTTTGTTGATCCCAAGCTGGAGCTTCACGGAGTGTACTTTCTTTAAAAACAAAACCTTTCCAATCGGCCACGGAAGGTCAGAATAATAGATCTTTTGAGCTGAACTCCCATCAGTTCCCAGCCAAAGCTCATACAAAATTGCATCTGCAAGCCACGAACTAACCATTGATTTTGCAGACACCCATTCTGGAACTGAGAGAACCTCGGTGTCGAGGTCGACAATACCATCTTGTCTTAAACACTCAATGACCCCGCCCCTCTCGTTATTGTACGCCACATAATCGCCAGTTTCAACATAAGGAATTTTATCTGACACAGAGAAAACAGATACCATACTCGTTAATAGGCTGGTTAACGAAAACATGACGAAATTCACTAGAAAATTAGACGCTTGAATCCTAATCTCACACAAGTAACTCCAGCAACTAACCGAACCAGAATCCGTGACCATATGATCAGGCTGAAGAATTGTAAACACATCCAACCAATGCAGACGGCTGAGCACTACCGACACCATTACAATTAAAATATCGTTTGAAGACGGATAAACACGAAAATATCTCTTGAAAAAGAACAGCAAAATACCCTGCTGCCAATTCAGCTTCTCCACAAGTACATCCAACTATAACACCAGGACTCGAGAAAACCACACAAATGCAAGAAAAATCATAAAAATGGGGGATTACCAGAATCGGGATAGACGGGATTGAAATCCAAGTGAAATGGAAGATTGGCCAATCTTAGATAGATGAAAAGCGGGAGGCAATCGGGGCATCCAGTGGGCAAACCGAAACATGGCTTCCTCACCACCAGAGTTAAACCTACTTCATCTCTTTCACTCATTTGCTCCACAAACTGGAAAAATCTCTGCAACAAACAACTGCTCCTGCTCCTGCTTTGCTTCGATTTGTTTCGGTTCGAAGGGTTTTAGACGACTCAGGCCGTCGGGGCTTCTTCGTTCTTCTCACATGACCAAGATTCTCTTCCTTTTTCCATTTTTATCAACGCTGAAAACAATTTGTATTAAATATTGTTTTATTAATTGACAGAGCATAAGGCGGGGATAGTTTAGTTGGGAGGGCGCGAAGGTCACGTGTTCGATCCACGTTCACCGCAATTAATTTTGGTCATTTTTATTATTTTGTCACTTTATAATCACTCACCCATTACTCGTATTTATTAAACTACGTAGCTATATTACATGCTCAAAACTACTTATCCCATTTATTAAAATCAAAATGAATTATCTTTTATATTTCAAAAATATTCTAAAGTGAAAAAATAATTATTAAAGAATAGGAATGAAATTAATTTCATTTCGAGCATTAAAATTTTGGTCATTCTTATTATTTTCACTTTATATTCACTCACACGATACCCTTCTCAATCTTTGTAACTATATTTCATGCCCATGTTAAGACACATTCGAAACTACTTATCCCATTTTTTAAATCAATATAAAGATTATGACAAAAATGAATATACATTTATTGTTTCAAAATTGTTCTAAAGTTGTAAAATAATTATTAAAAAGATGTAGAACCTAGGCAACAAACAATATGAATGAAATTAATAGATTGTTGAAGAGAAATGGAATTATGAATAAGTAATTCCCAAATTTGAGATGGATCACACTAATTGATTTCGTTCCTACCTTCAGTAATGACCATAAAAAAATGAATGAAGTAATTAACAACTCAATCATTGTATGTTAAATTTTTATTTTAAAAGATTTTACTAATTTAATTTTATAAAATTAAAAGTTTATAATAAAAATCGATAAACAAGAGAAAAATCTTATTACAAATTCAAAATATCCTATTTCTAGAAAACAGTTAAGCCTTTCATTGGAATCATATTTAAAGATGTAAACCATGAGATTAGTTTCTTTCTCAAATTTTACATGGAAAAAGAAAATCTSGAATGTATATATTACATAATAATACTCAGACTAAATAACATAGAATAAAGAAAAAGAGAATTGACAAGTTGGTTTCAAAATTGGAGGGCCGAAGCATGATCAAAACTGACTTTTCAGCAGTGAAGAGATTCTGAAGTTCATCTTCAATTTTGCAGATATCCATCACATGGCTGTTTGTCTTCCTCAAAAAGCTTGCTGGCACCTAAAAATGGGCTTTAGCAAAATACAAAGACGCTTTTTTCTGATGTAGCCATTCTTTTTGCTGGCACACTTCCAACTATTCTCTCCAGCTAACATAAAATACATAACGTGTTAGTATAACAGACCCAGACCGCAAGGGTAGAATGGTAATTCGAAGCCGTTCGATTCCAACAACGATATTTAGCGGGTTACGATGTTATGTTATATCTATCCAATCCAACAAATAGAGCTACCATAAAGAATAAGAGTAAGGGACTGTGTTTAGAAGTTGTAGATTCTCTTTCTCATATCAGGAATAACCATAGGTCCTATTTTGGGAACCATTTTATTTTTTGTTTTCTGTTTTNACACTTTAAGAGAAAAAAATTCGACCCCAATTTGATAACCGTTCTCAAAATCACTAAGAGAAGTAGTTTTCAAAAACTTGTTTCTTTTTAAAATTCCACTAAGAATTCAAATGTGTTAAGTGAAAAACATACCAAAGAAACGGTGAGAAAGCAAGTATAATTTTTAAAAATAGAAAACTACAAACAAAATCGTTATCAAACGGGTCTTAACTGCTTGTTTTTCATGTGAAATCTAAAATTAATAGAATAAAGGGGTTAAAAACTTGTGCCGTAGTAGTTAAGTTATCAGTGATAGCATGGAGATGGTAAGACATCCTAAAAAACACAAACATATTTGATTTGTAAAAGAGTTCTTAACAAGTTCTAACACAATAGCTTACCCGGAGCTGATCGAATGGTGAAAAAAGCACTCTGCAAGTCATGTTCTGGGATCCATCAAGCATATTTACAATCTGAAGGGAGGTGGGGATGGATGTTATAACCAACTCAAACGTATGGAGAACATAATATTAATAATTAGTTCAGTTCAGCACACTATCATCATGATTACCTCAGTGTAGAACTCTTTCCTCTCCGGCAAGGAATAAATGATCAAGTTTTGAATGCCACGAATCTAGCACCAAGGGAAAATAGCATGGTCAAGAACAGCCATTTGTAAAACCAAGAACCACAGAACAAGAAATTCTTGGTGAAGGGGCTGAAGGGTTCACTTCACAGGTTTCGCCCAGATGAAGAACTATCGCAAATTGAAGAAAATAGCTCTTGTTATGAAATGGACTGGGGAGATATGGCTTCGAAAAACGGGGAGATCATTCACTGGCAATCAGCATGACATGAGCGGGAAAGTTTGTTGTTACTTGTTGGATGTAAAGATCTTAGTCGGTTGTTTTTCAAGAACAAAGTGAAAAGAGTAAGTGTGTCAGCATTTCGAGAAGCCAGTTGACACAAAAACATTGCCTTTAGAAACTTGGATTTCCTAGCCAAACAATCACTCTCCGTTAGAAAACCACTGAACTTCAGGTAATGACTAGGATCCCATGCTAAGTTTGCCATCTGACAAAGAGATTGGGGACTTGGAAGATTCAAATTCCCAAAGATTCCTAGTAAATTCTAAGTTCTTTAGGTGGCATAACGCAGTTGGTGCTATCCAAAAAAGGCATCATTATTGTTGCACAACATCTCCAAACTGGTGTTTTTTGTGCAAAAATAACCGCAAGAACTAAACTGATCTCCTCTTTCAATACAATTTTACTATGAGAAACTGGGACAAACTTCTTAATGAATTTAGTTTCCATTGATCCGTCCCAAGAAATTATTTGAACTGCTTTAAGAAACATTTTGTGGGCATCCCTTTAAATGTAAAGTTAAGTTCTCATGGTCTAACCTAACGCATCTATGGTTGTGATTTCGAAGGTTCAAAGAGAAGTAGAGCGATCTAGAGGATGTATGGGGGATGAATAAAATTTTGAGGTATTCTTAATGCACTCTAAGTTCTTTTCTAATTACAATTCTTTCTGGATCACTGCCAACAGGAGGAAGTTTTTGCAACCCAGTAGTTTAGCGTAGCTAGAGATCTAATCTCCTGCTCTTTCTTCTGTATTCTCTCATTTTGGTCAATGAAACTCGGTTCTTACTCAAACACACAAAACAGACCACAGACACACATACTATGTTGGCAAAATTTAGCTTTTGAGGAAAGTACATAGCCATATAAATTACCTTGTATCTGTGGTAAAAATGTGCTCTCTCCGTATATAACATGATCTTCCGCTTTCCCTCAAAAAACCAAATTCGCGCTCGTGAGATATCACTTTGCTTTGTATACCTAAAGAACAAAACTAGATCGTTATACATGATAATACAAGCAATCGAGGATGCAGAAGAAAAAAATAAATCAATAAATTTATGGATCAGCTTATAAGTAAAACGATTGGCTACTTACTCCCCAAGGAGACAGAATGAAGCATTCTGTGCCTTCAAAAAGTTTCGAACTCGAACGAACTCAAAGTAAGAACTAATGAATAGCATGACTCCACCCTGAGGGAAAAGTTCCACGGATTGAGATAAGGCAGAATATGTAGATCTGCTTCAATAATTTTAAACTCAAAAAGTCTTTGACATCAGAACCGTCATCGTTACTAAATAATAGTTACCTGACTAGATTCATTTATCTTTGGAAACACCTGAGGAGAAAAACCATTTTAAATAATTAGATCAATAAGCCAGTACAATTAATAAAGAGATTTAGTCTCAATTCTGCTATCTCCTTCACAGAAAGTTATATCTTTGATTTTATATTTGCTTAAATGGACCGAAGTCAAATCCTATAACAACTAACTGAACTATTGATAGTTAAGATCAGAGTTTATCAAAATCAACAGGATAAATAAGAAACTGACCTTCTTGGAAAAGTACTCAAGACGAGCATCATCAACATCAGCTATAGAGTCTGCATCAAACCTCTCGTAAACCTGTAAAAAATATAAGCACGAGAAAAATACTCAGGATGAGCATCATCAACATCAGTTTTTCATGATGTTTGGCTACATATAAAATTTTCAAAAACAATTTAAACAACTCAACCGTGCTTCTGGACAAAGCACTAGTATTTTTCCTAAAGTTCTTAATGAAAAATGATCTCACTTAAAAAAAACCCACTCCTAAAAGCTATCCCAAACGCAATGTTCAATACTTTCCAGATAAGCCCCTTTTTAGTTTTTTTTTTTTTAGTTTATTAAAAAAATTCAATTAAAAAATACTTTTTAACTTGTAGCTAAATATCATATAAGATTTCGGAAGTAACTTAATTATTTAAAAGATCTTTAAGGATGTTGAAAAAATATTCCAAACACAGTATTAATGAAATCTTATATTGCTTCATGTTTCTTTAATTTCAGTTGATATTTTTTTTTCTGAAACGAGAGACAGAAATTTTCATTGATGTAATGAAAAAGGAAAGAAAACAAAGGGAATACAAAGAAGAAAACCTGGAAACAACTAATAACCGCCCAAATACAAGGGCCAAAGCTAACCTCATAAAGAATTTTTTTTTTAAAACAAGATACGAACTTCTCGTTGAAATAATGAAAAGGAACAAAATTGTTCAAAGGAGACAAACCTCATAAAGAATCTAAATGGTAAAAATAAAAGCTTTCCAGATTTCAAATCCCTTGGGTCTTCCCGAACGACTACCAACCAAATGTTCTAAACCTTTTGGTTGGTCCGTCTCTACCTCCAAAAGCTCACTAAATTTGGTCCCATCATTTCAGAATTATGGTTTGAATGCAACCATAGAATCTTTCAGAACAAGTTTTGCTGTTCCACAGTTCAGTTTGACTTGGCTTCTCAAAAAGCTTCACAATGTATTCCCTTTCTAATGTCTTTATGGATTATAACTCCCTCAATATTTGTCTAGACTAGGAAGCTTTTATTTCTTTCTTTTTTCATTAAGGGTGGTATTGATGCACTAAAAAGTCGGGCTTCAGTCGGAAATAAGAAACCATTATCTTCCTCTAGCGATGAAAAGATTTTAATGTTAAAATTTCTGTAACAGAATCTAGAGCTGAATTCAACATGTTTTTTCAGAATAATTCAACATGTTTTTTTATAGTAGGACTAACGTGCAATTCCAATTCCACAATAATGATGCGAACTACCCAAGATAAACAAACACCAAAGATGGTAATCACTAATCAGATTCAATTATCTTCCATGAGCCAGAGTGCGGAAATTTTGTTATTAATTTGATTCAAAACCCCTAAAATAGGGAGAAGAATAAATATTCCAAAGTTGCAATTATACCATAGAGATCAAATATCAAAATTTTCTGAAACAATCCACGAAATCAACATGAGATAAGATGGCACCATCTTATTCAAAATGATTGCTGCAAGAGGAGCATGAAAAAAAAAGGCATAATTGAGTAGACAAACCTGGCGGACTTGGAGTACCACTTTTGGAAGAATGCCTTTGTATTCACATAACATTCTCACCTATCACATGACACATTGAGCATTGAGGAAAAGAATAGATATAGACGAGTCCATACTAAGATAAATTATAACTGCATGTGTGCTAAGACCAACAATCAAATCCAAGTCAAAGAGAATCAGTTAAACGAGAGATCTCTCACGTTAAGAAACAAATGCCCTTCTCTGACTAGCTAATCTTGGTGATGATGCCCTAGAGCCAAGTCTAGGTGTAAAGTACGGAAAGAATTGGGCAACCGTAGACAATTGTGTTTTGATAGAAAGGAGATTTTTCGTTTACTATGCTTATCATCATATCTTGAACAATTGTCAATTTTGATTTAATTGCTAAAGGATGTCTTCTCTTATTTATGTTTCAAGATAACTATTTAAAAAAAATATTTACATTCAACCAAAAGAGAAAAGTCAAAATAAAATAAATAAAAACTAAAATACTTGTTAGAACAACACATCAAACAGGAAACTTGGCATGCTTAACCATCTTCTCTTATTTATGTTTCAAGATAACTATATAAAAAAATATTTCCATTCAACCGAAAGGGAAAAGTCAAAATAAAATAAATAAAAACTAAAATACTTGTAAGAACAACAGATCAAACAGGAAACTTGGCATGCTTAACCAATGTAAAAAGATTTATAAAGTAGGAAGGGAAGAAATTATTAAAAGACAAAAAAAAAATAATAATAAATAAAGGGATCAGGATTCAAAGTAAACATTCATATGTGTCAAATTTCAAGAGTGCATTTTAAAATGCAATGCGGATTTAGCATGCAAAAAACATTTGACTCCTCAATTGTTCTGTATGATTCTTGTCTAACGTTCTGACAAAAACAATCCAGTGTCCACTAATCAGTTAAGCATTTAGAAAAACAAACAATAAAAGATATATGACATTTCTGCCTTACAATAATTAAACGAAGAAAAAGACGCACCTTTCCTTGGTAGTTATTGCAGTAGTGATTGAAAAAAGCATTTATATCTGTAAGAAAGGTGTAGACAAAAATTAAAATACTTCATTTCAATCATTAGAAGTAAGATAAAAGAATCAATGTCATATGAATATTGCTATTCTACAACATCTAAACATCATAAAACTACTAAATTCTCCTTTAGAAGAAACCAAAAATTCATTAAAAGGGAAAAGATCTAAAGCACCAATTTGGGATAATTGCACAGTGCGCAATTGTACTGTAATACAATTCTACTTGCAGATACAATTACTTGGTCCAATACATTTTTATTTTATTTTCTAATATTCCCTTCTATTTATTTACTTTTCGTGTTATTATTTCTTTTTATCTTTTATCTATTGCCAAAAATAATTGATAAATGACTCCGCTCGTGATTTGTTTATTCATATATTGTCCCACAAAAAGTGAATTAGTGGATGCACAACTGCTAAAACAAAACAAAATGTTACTTTTTAAGATCATTCTATTATTGACATGGACATATAAAAATAAAAATATAGTAAAGTTTTTAAGCTTATTATGAGTGTGAATACCATCTCTATTCACCGACTCTCACACCAAATTTTGTTTATGTAAACAGTGACAATTCTTTTTATATCTAGGCTACCCGTCACATGGTTCACACCCAATATGGATGTCAATGACTCTAAACTTCTTTTCTCGTAAGATACCCTTACGGGAGGAGGGCATGAGTTGTGACAGTAAACACCTAGTATGGTCTAAAAATAATTGTTTATAACCACATGGTTCAATAGTTTACTGATGCACACTTACACTAGAGTTTCTTGAAGAATACTTGAATCTGACTTTATTAAAGAGGCCAACACTTATTTATAGAGGCTGCCTAAAAGCTAACAAGGTAAACTCAAGTTACCGTGAGGTAACTAGCAACTTAACTAAACATTTAGATATAAAGCTACAACTTATTAGGAATGCTTCAAAACAACAGCTAACTACTACATCATTTACGTAGCACTAAAGTGATATCTAACTAAAGACCCCACTTTTGCAATTTTGTTAACCCATATTGGTCTGTATTAAACGAAAGCAATCCCCAATTTTACATATAGTAAAAGATTTAAGTGAACCCACCAAGAATTATATGAATCACACAGTACGTAGCATAAAATTGAGTTAGAAACTGACTTAGAAACCAAAACTACTTGCTGATTCTAGTAAATCGGATACATGAATTGCATTGTATACAAACAACAGACGAACCACCTTACCTGGGTTTGAATGAAAGCCCAAAACTATGGACTGCCTATAGAACCTCGCATATCCATCAAGATACCTACAACAAGAAAGGGATTTTAACATTTGGATGATGGGACAAATTTTTTTTTTTTTTTTCGGGGTAAGAACAAGTATTTCAATGGGACAAAATGTTCATTCACGTAAACCTAATGAGATCATATTGTGTATGATAGTGCTGGGTCCACAGAAAACCTGGGACCCAAGGAACCTTGAAACTATAAACTAGTCCGAAACAATATACTTTTACAATCCCTAGGTTCTGCACGCTATAAAGGACCAAAGAAAAATAAAACTTACATTCTTTCCATTTTCAAATCAATCCTCAAATTTTATTATGAAAATTGAAATGAAACGTAATACTGTGGAGAAGAAGCTTACAAAAATAGCAAAGAAGAGAGAGAAAAACTGTGTTATTGAGTGGAGTACATTTCCTCCCACAGATAAGGAATATATTTCTTAACAAAGATAATTTGGAACATACCACTGTCTTATCCGCATCACATCAGTTCCATGCTGCTTCGATGGTATCTTATTCATTTGTTCAATGACAGTATTCACATGGGACCAGTTCTAATTTTCATTGAAGAAAGTTTTGGGTTATTATGTCGCATAAAGCATATAAACAAATATTCTAATTTAATAGCAAAGTACCTGCATTGCTATTATATCTGCATGATCAATGATTAAGACCTGCTCGTTGAAGCATAATCTTCATTTAAGCAACATATACATAAAAGAGGAGCTACACATGAATACACTTATATCACAGAAACGTTACCTCAATGGAAGAAAGATAGTCAACATCTTTCTCCTTGTTTTTCTCTGTTTCGCCAAGTTTCTGATAAAAAGTGTTGTTAGTGCATAAAGTATAAATACTTTTCATATTCAGAAGTCCTGTCAGAAATAAATTGTGCATTTCCAACTTAATAGAAAGATGCCAAAATATATTCAGCCACGCCTTAAATATATCAACCACCAATACTTAATGGCTCATCAACTTCAACAATTTTGGCAACAATATAATTGGTAGGGTCCATTTTCACAGTTAATATTTGAAAATTATTAGACTCTCATATTATGAGCCATTGAGCATGAATATTACTATCATGAAAATGTTTTCAAATTCACAATACTACAAAATGATCAATGTATGAGTACATCCCCTTAGAGTTATTGAAGAAAATAACTCACTGTAATCAGACCAAGGGGAGAAGCAACAATTATGTCTGATGAATAGAAATCACCGAATAACTTAATGCTCTTCCTACAAAAAAAAATTGATACAATTAAGTTCAAAAAATAGAATTTATTAATAAACAAATTTACAATTTCAAATTAACACATTCGATAGGAGTGATGCAAAGAGAAATTATTTAAGATGAATGACGATCCTCTACATTTCTATACCATATAAAGGATGATGGTCAACTGCAAAGGGGAAATATGAGTTTGCTTAAAATTTATTCAAAGTTAATTCCTGATACTTTCTGATAAAGTGTAAATAAAACATTTCGTGAAGCCACCATATTAGACGGTCATGAGACTTCAATGCCAAAAAAAAGGATTAAAATCAAACTCTAATGCATGCATAATTCACCTGGTGAACTTGATACCAATCATAAAGAGATCTTCATTATTCCCACCAAAGAGTGCTTGGAAGTCAGAAGGTTTTGAAGATTTTTTAGAGCTACAATTCTGATCATTAAGAGATAATTCAACTGTGTCTCCATTCTTCCCAACACCTCCATTTCCAAAATCTTCATATAGACGGTCAAGATGCTCCACTGTAACCTAAAATCAAAGGTACATTGTTATATAGACGGTCAAGATGCTCCACTGTAAGCTAAAATCAAAGGCACAAGGTTAACAATGGTGCTAGGTATCCGAATTTCAGGCTAGGTATGTTGGCTATGGTTGTACAATCAATTATTTCCTTCAAGTTTGTGGTGTTCTTCTTGGCATATGGTGCAACGTGTGTTGCTGGTTTATTCTGACTAGTTTGATTGCATGTGTTAATGCTCCACTGTAAACTAAGTATATTCATCTAAACTTCATTTACACGTGTTGCATGTGTGAAATGGCCCATTATCAAAGATGAATGAAATGAAGAAATACAGCAGAAAAATATATTCCCATCCCCAGCACACTCATACGTCTCAAATAATATAAACATCTTTTTCCATGTATACTAATGATGATTATCAACTACTAAACCAATCTTGATATAGAACTCTAACTAATCTGAGGAAGTAGAGCAATGCAAATAGATGCCTACAAAGTTTCGTTCCTGAAAATAACCTAAATCCTATATTAAAATCTCGTTCATAAAAATGCAAAGAGCTAGTACTTCTAGTTATATAACCCATTTATTACAAACATAGTTCTTTCATAAAAATAATGGAATACCTTGTTTGCTGATGGAGTGAGATGTATCAGCCTTTTAATTACACGAAGAGCAATGCTTGCAAGGGGCAATAAAATCAAAACCTGGAGCAGACCATGCAACAGAGATCGTCACTTTCTTTCTTCCTTTTTTACAAAGCAAACAAAACTTTTCATGATAAGGTGAAAAGTTACAGGCAAAAGCATAAGTCTCCTCAATCAAAGTTTACAAAATGCACCCCAATTTGAGTTAAATACATTGGGGAAAGTGTAAACGCAATCTGAAAGTGAAGAACAAATCTAAATAATAGATTTTCATTTATTATTTAGAACAGCAATACAAGAATAACGTTCATTTAATCAAGCATGGTGGTGCATAAGAAATACGAAACTCTTTTGTAATTACAACATCTCTTTGATTTTACAAAATTGGAGAGCTTTTTGGTGATTAGTGTCTTTTTTGGAAGGGGTTGCCTTGGCCCCTGTCCGTAGGCTGTTATTGTTCTTTTGTTCCTTCTATTGAAGTTTTTCTTATCCAAAAAAAAAAAAAAAAAAAAAAAAAATCTAGGCACTAATACTATATGCAGTGTGGTCAAACCAAAATCCCAAGTTGAGAGAACAAAGTAGTTTCAACATTCAAGTTTCTTTTGTTTGGTCTGAACAAATTGAAATTTGTTATTTATACAAAAATGGTAACCGACTGATGCCTGGCCTGTATCAGGCTTGTGAACTCATTAAATTTGCGTAAGACTGCATTTTCCCATAACAGAAAAAACAAAGTCACCCCATAGACATTATAACTTCGTTGTTCTACGTTCTGCTGGTGCAGGATCACCAAGTATATTTCAAAATGCCGATGCACATAAAACAGCAAATAATATGGAAATGTGGGAAAAGTTGTGCAGGAATACCAGTAGCTATAGAGAGTAGGTCCAAATAGAAATTGTTTATAATAACATATAAAGATCAATTTTAGAGGAAAAATACTAGAAGTCTACAAAAATGTGAAAATTTTTTAAAATGTTTCTATAATTGTAAGTAAAGATAAAAGTTTTGGCTTGCATTAATATTCAAGAATGACTTCTAATAATTGCTAAACTATATTAAGCTGACAGACATGGAACTGGGCAAATGAAGACCAAAAACAGAAGTGAAATAGTAGTCACGAAGACATGTATTAGGTAGCCTCAAAAGGAGAATGGCTAAAAACAAAATCGTTCTTTAATTTCTTTTTTTTAAATATCTAAATAGCTGAAGGGCTCAAGTCAAAAATTGGCTTAAATACATCATCGTTTCATTTACGAGGTAAAACAGATGAAGTAAAAAATGAAAGGAAAATAGATAAGGCTACCTACAAGTCTTGTGATAAAAATTGATGAGAGATAGAGAGGGGCAAAAACAATTAATTTGAGACACTCAAGCATTTTTAGTATCACAAAAAAGACTATGAAGAGGAGCCACTATTATAACCTTTGGACGAGTAAATCCATGATCAAGAAATTTCTCCCCACTAAGAATGTCAGCTCGGTCTTGATGTTTGGCCACTTTTGAGTCATTCTTCGTTATGAGATCTCTAGTCTTAAAAACATGATTCAACTGCAAAACATATTTCCCCAGAAATCATAACGTGAACAAACAAATATTCTAAATGATTTTCATAAGGAGAGTGATAGAGGCATGCACACACAGAATGCATAATATATGAATCCATGATACTCGAGTCTTCTTCTTGACCTTTCAGATAAAAGGGTTTCTTGTTGCAGTACAGTATATCACGGTAGCTGTTGCCTGAAAGAAAACGGGTAGGATAAGCGATATATATGATTATATGCACACATACAGACATGCAAACAAACAATTACAAGAGTAAATAATGCACAAACTCAAATATCAGCAAAAAATTACAGCCAAACCTACTGCTTTTATCAGCAAAAAAATCTATACCTCCAAAGCATCAATAGTCTTATCTACCAATTTTTCTTTTCTTGGTAAGAAACAATATCATTGATGAGTGAAATTACAAAAGGGTGGGGAGGAGGATTAAACACCGCAAAACCAAAGAAGTTACAAAATACTTCTCCAATTGGTCAAAAGAGAATCAAAACTATATGAGTAGAAGAGCAATGATAATTTAACACCAAGAGATAGCATGGAAAATGATGTTGTCAAAGATTCTATCAAAGGAAAGTTCTTTATCGGTGAAAAGCCTATGGTTTCTTTCATTCCATGTAGTCCACAAAAAAACCCTAATGAAAGTATGTGAAGAATAGAAGTGCAATTTTGAAGGATTTCTTTTTTTTTTTTATATGAAACGAGTATTTCATTGATGGTATGAAATATACAAAAGGCCAAAAGGGCAATTACAAAAACGCCTTCCAATTATAGATTAGATCATTTAGGTTGTAGCTATTGAAGGGTGAGTGGAAGCTTTTACACCAACCAAGAGCTAATACAGTAACTCTATCAAAAAAAAAAGAATCAAAAGGACAAGATGTGTCGTTAAAGACTCGGTTGTTCCTGTCTAGCCATAAGCTCCAAGGAAGGCTCTGATGAAAAGGGTCCAAAGTGTTGCTCGGTTCTTTTTGAAAGGATGATCCGCCAACAGGCATTCAAGGAGGATGGAGGTGTTGTTGTGAAGTGTTGTCTCCCATCCGAAGGTAGTGAGAAGGATCCCCCAGAATTTAGAGGGAAGCTGCAACTGACGAATAGGTGTCCCGGAGATTCCGATGCCCTAGACAGAGGTGATAGCAGTTTGGGGAGAGGGAGATATGAGGCAGCTTTTTCTGTTTCCGATCAAAAGTGTTCAAATCCCTATGGCTTAACTCCTAGCAAAAGAACTTGACCTTTTTGGGGCATTTTCCTTGCCAAAGGGTGGAGAAGAAGGTGGGTACAGCATGGGTTTTGGGGAGTGATCAGGAGCTCAAAAACAGAGCTGGTGGTGAAGGATTTGCTCAGGTTCAATGGCCAAATCCATAAATCTTCACGATGGAGAGGGGAAAAAGCTTTGAGAATCTGGGATAGGCCCAACCACTCTTCGAGCTCCTCATCTTTTAGTGGTCCTTTAGTGGTCTACGAAAGTTGTAATCCCATGAAGATGAAGCCTTGGACCAAAGTTCGGTAATTTTGGCATCCTTATTTGTAGCTACGGCGAAGAGTCTTGGGTAGAGGTTGTCAAGGGTCCCTTGTGGGAACCATTTATCCTTCCAAAAATAGCAGAGACTATCTTCCCCTACCTGGCAAAGAGCAAAGTCTTTAATAAGATGAGTATGTCGTAGGATAGATATCCATGGACCTTTGAAGCTAGTGGAGCATGGGGTGGGCCAATTGTTTGATAGAGATCCCATATATTTTGCTGAGATGGGAGTCCTTCAGAGGTGGTGTCTTTCACTGATAAACTGTCAAGTCCATTTGGAGAGGAGAGCAGTGTTTTTGTGCTTGATATTACCAATACCCAGGCCACCGTCTTTTATGGGAAGTTGAACTTGCTTCCAGTTAACTAGATGGGGCTTGCCATTAGTGGATGGGCCTTCCCATAAAAAAATCTCGAAGGAGTTTGCTAATCTGATCTGCTGCTTTTCTTGGTAAGTTGAAAAGGGAGAGATAGTAAGTAGGAAGGTTTGATAGGATGGATTGTAGGATAGTACGTCTCCCCCCTTAAGAGATAAAAAGGTTGCTTTGCTCCATCTGCTCAATCTACTCTGAATCTTTTCTATAATAGGATGCCAAAAGGAATCCTTATTAGGATTACCGTTCAAAGCGAGACCCAAGTAGGTGCAGGACCAAGCTTTGGATTTGCAACCCCAAGCTTTAGCAATGAGAGTAGTAATCTGCGGATCAATGGAGACACCAAGAACACTGGACTTATGGTAGTTTATATTGAGGCCTGAAGCAACCTTGAGAGATTTGATGATTTTTTGAAGATTTATAATCTTTGTGGGGTCGTTGCTAGTGAATAGGAGTGTACCATCTACAAAAAGTAGATGGTTAATCGAAATTAAGCCACATTTTAGACCCTTGATCTGACCTCTGCTTTCTCCAAAAGTGAGCAAACAACTAAGAACATCAGTGACCATAATGAAAAGAAAAGGGGAAGGGGATCCCCTTGTCTTAGGCCCCTGGTAGCTGTAAATTTGCCCCGTGGTTTGCCATTGATGATGATGGAGAAGCTCGTCGTAGAGATACATGCTTGGATCCATTTTCTCCACTTAATCCCAAAGCCTTTGTGGAGCGTCACTGTGTCTGGGAAGTCCCAGTCAACCATATCAAAGGCTTTTTCAAGGTCTAATTTAATCACAGCTCCTTCAAATTTCAGTGATTGCCATTCATCTACAATCTCATTTGCAATAAGGGAAGAGTCAAGAATTTTCCGTCCCTTAACAAAGGCATATTGGTACTCTGATATAGTACTTGGCAGCACCTTTTTAAGCCTCAGTGAAACCATCCGGCTCGGGAGCGGAATTAATGATGGGACGAAAGTCATGGACAGTCTTGGCACCTTTTCGGGAATGAGTGAGATGTAGGTCTCATTAAGAGCGGAATTAATGATACCATTTATAAAAAAATCTTGGAACAAAACCAGAATGTCAGACTTGATGATGTTCCATGATTTTTTTAAAAACTCCGCAGTGAAACCATCCAGCCCGGGAGCTTTATAGGATCCAAGGGAAATGACCGCCCTGTGGATTTCTTCCTCTGTGAAGTCTTGCTCTAACATGGCTCCGTGTTCAATGGTGATCGAGTCCCATGGCAAGTTTGTGGGACAGCACCTATGTCCTTCCTTTCTAGAATAGAGAGCGGCGTAGAAATCTATGAACTATTTTTCAAAATTTTGAAGGATTTCAACTTCTTATTTTTTTAAAAAAAAAAAACCCTTTGATTAAAGCCACAAAAGGAAAACAGTCTAAGGGCGGGGGAAGAGGGATCCCCCTCCCAAAAACTAGATAATAATTGCTCTCCAATCTTGCAAAATCATAGAAATGCTGTAATTACAAAAAATTCTCTATGCCTATAGCACCACCAAGAAGAAGAGGAGGACTTAGCTTCAAAAATCCTAGAAGGATTTCAACTTCTAGTTATGGAAGTCTGTGACACCAATTACAGGATGTCAAATCTCATCAAACCAATAAACAGCTCGCCAACTTTTCTCGGAATGTGAATTTTGAGAAAAACTTTTGGTCTTTTCAATTCTTATTTTGTGAACCCAAAGAAATTTAGGGATTCGTTCTACAATTGTTGTTTAGGTTGAGGCTAAAGAACAAGTCAAAGATTCTTTGGTTAAGAGTATCTTCGTTATTATGTGAGAAGTGGTTAGTAAGAAACAAATGAATTTTTAGTAGCATGAGGGCTCCTCGTGAAGAATAAAGGAGCACCCTTTTGAGGCAAAGACAGCAAAGAGAAGGAGAGAGGGTTCAACTTGAGTATTTCCTTTGAAGCTTCTCAAGACATATTTTCCAAGCTGCAACAACCTATAACCTCGAACTAGTAGGTTAAGTTAATGAAACTACTCAACTTATTTATTAGCAGTTAGCACTCTTCACAAGTTCGCTGAACAGAAGGGATGCCAATAAATGATGCAAAGATTGAATCTTCAAGCATTACAATTTCATGAAGCAACCTTTTCTCTGACTATGACTTTTTTTTTAAGTACAAAAAAGAAAATTGACTAGGACTTGTTTATATTAAAATATTGAGTTAGAGAGAAGCAAGCTTATAGGTAGTGAAAAGAAGAACCCCTTTTAGAATAACAACTTTGCGAAGATCCAACTAGCTAAAATGAATGGTTTGATAACATGAGAGCTTATCTGTGTGTGGCAAAATATCCAAAAGCATGTGTTCGTAACTATATATGCATATATATATACTCAAAAAGGAAAAAAATCAAACTTACAAAGGGAAAAGAAAAATCTCTGTCTCGATGAATGAAAGTCAGTGCCTCCAGATGTCTTGTACACATCCAACCAGTGCTCATATAACCTTACTTTAAGATCGTAATTACTAGATTTAACGTCTAGATCCTGAAATATAATTATTAAATATATTTTAACATTAAGAAATCATATGAAGAACTTGAGAAATTAAGAATTTAATTAGGATGGAAAATGACATCACAAAAGTAGATCAGGTTGCAAGAACTCCATATAAAATAAAATACCTTTAAAAGGCACTCTCCGGTCCCCGACCACTTGCAGTTTGACATCCCTATGGCAGGAACCACCCATGCATACTTCCATTTCATTTTAAGGAAATTCTCGGCCTCTTCTTTAGATAACTTATGCTCCATGTGTTTGTTAAACGAACTGCATAAATGGAAGTATAAGCAATAAATTTCACAACTAATCTCAATGGCCGCATAGGTTCTTTAATGATAATTTTTTCAAGAAACAATTATAGTAAGTAACTTAAGAAGCTTTGTACAAATGTCCAAAGAATCGACCTTTGAAGGATAGATTTCCTAATATCTATCTTTTATCTTTATCCCCCATGGGACTGTTGATGACTTTTGGGACAAAGCCACCCTCTCTTGGAGAATTCAGACTCGGAGGATGTTAAAAGACGAGGAAATTGATGAATTTATCTCATTACTCTCCCTTTTAAACCCATTTGTTCTTAACAATCAGGCCAATACTAGAATATGATCTTTTGAGCCATCTGGGGAAATTTCAATAGCCTCATGGTGCAGATTGTCTTCCTCTAAGGCCATGTCATCCCACTTATTGCAAGCTATTTGGAATACCAAATGTCCAAAGAAGGTCAGCTTCTTCATTTGGATTTTTCTGTTCAGAAAATTCAATACAGCGGAAGTTCTCCAAAAGAAGCTTTCTGGATGTTGCCTTTCACCTTCCATCTGTGTCTTCTGCCAATCTTTTGGTGAAAACCTGCTGCATTTGTTCTTTTTTTGCCCTTTCACCCAGAATTGTTGGTCTCTACTATTCCAAGAGTCCAATTTCTCTTGGGTGTTCGATGGGATTGCAATAAATAATCTTACTCATCTTCTTCGCGGGCCATCTTTGCCTCCTAAAGCTGATCTACTGTGGCTGAATGCTATTGAAGCTATGTTATATGAGTTGTGGTTTGAAAGGAACCTAAGAACTTTTGAAGACAGAAGGAAATCCTCGTTCGATCGGTTTCACTCAGCAAAATTTAAAGCTTCTCCGTGGTGTTCTTTATCTACTTTTTTTGGAGATTACTCCCCTAGTCGTATTTGTTCTAATTGGAGTGTCTTTATTTTTCATTGTTAATCATATTTATTTCTTGCTTGTCTTTCTTTTTCACTCTTCCGAGAGTTTGTATCCTTTGAATAATTTTGTTCCTTTTCATTATTTCAATGAGAAGTTCGTATCTTGTTCAAAAAATAAAAAATGGAAGAAAACCTCATCCAAGAGAATTACCAAAAACTTTTCCAATTGAACAAAAGAGAAGAAAAGCTATAGTGATAAAAAAATATATAAGATCATTTACACCTAAGAAGACTCCAAAAGAAACGATCAAAATAACGCTCCTTATCTTTGATGATTTTGCGATTCCTTTCTTGACAAGTGACCCAAAGGAAAGTTCTAATAAAGTTTATCCAAAGGAGCTTCCTTTCACCAAATCAATATTGAAGAGAACTTTGGAGTCGTCTTGGGAAAAACATAGACCAGCCAAAAATAGATGGGATGGAATCCCAAAAAGAGAGAACAAATTCACATGTACTGAAGATATGTTTACTAACTTGGTAGTTTACTGTCTTTTTAATGTTTTCTAAAATTTTAAAAAAAAAACCCCCACCAACTCAACCTAATTAATATAAGTTGGTTAGAGTCCATAACCTAACTATAGTCATCAAGATTAAGAACATATCCTGCCAAAACGTTTGGACTTGTCCAAAACTCCACCCAACTCAATCAATGAACACCCTAATGTCTAGTTCAAAAAATGATTTAAATAACCAAATTTGCAACTATAAACCTTATACAATTTACTTTGTAATTTCAATTTAAGAAAGAAGGGTTACATTGGATAGTTGAATAGAAATCATGTATCTTGAAAACAAAAGGACATTATTTAAATGATACACCATAAAGTCATGGACTAACCTAGTTCTATCTGATATTGAAGAGGCATGGTGAGAAATAGCTTCCAGTTCATTCTCCTGATCTGTGTCAGAGCTATTAGTGTCATCTTCAGTTCCTTCCGTTTCAATATTTAGCACTGGCTCACTCATTTTGTTTGCCAAAGATGGACTTCTACGGAACTCATCATCAGTCACTACAATATAGAGATTTCATATAAATGAAAATAAAAGCAACAATTTACTATGGCTGAACCCAAAAGATAATATCAAAATAAATACACGTTATGTAAGTTCTATAAGAAAAAGATGATAAAAACAATTTTCAAATCCTAAACAAAAAGAAAAATGGTCAGAATATATTAAAAGAAAAAAAAAAACTTTTTTTGACCTTAAATTTCTAGTGTCCTTTTTCAATAAACTATTTTCTAAGAAGAATTAACCAACCACATAAAAGTAGATTTGGCTATTTTAGTTTAAGTGAGAGATATGGGGTTTAATATTGGATTCAGCTACCATAAAAGTAGACTTCTTTACGGTTATATTTTGAATTTTGGATTCTTTTACACAAAGAGCTAAACTGAGGATTCGCATCCTTCAAATAAATTTCAAATAACATTCTAATCGCAAAATACTAAAAGCATAATGCTAAAACTTCTCATAACAACATTGTGGATGAAACACCATAAATCACATTGTGCTTCACAACCAATTTTAAGGTCCATCCACGTCAATGGGAGAAAACGTCAACTTTTCAAATATGACCTAGAAAGAGATGGGGGAAACATTAAAAGAGTTTCCAATTCTGTCATTTAGGTAAATGGGAAACATTTTTCATAGTTCAACATACTAGAGGGGCTCCTAGCAAAGAACATAATAGTGGGGTAGGTCAATAAAGAGGTCTAGATAAACACCAGACTCAATTTGACCCATCATAAGAATTTTTTATTCAGGAAAAAAAACAATGAAAAAATAATTTCCTGATATTACCATTTACCAACAGGTCCAAAACATAACGTAAATTGAAACCATCAAGGCAGTACGAACCAGCATTACTAGTGAAGATTAATAATCTGTTTTTTCTTTTTTTTTTCTTTTTTTCTAATATGAAACAATTGGAGCATATATTAGAGACAGAAAGGATAAAAATACAGTCTAATAATCTTAACCACGAGAATCTAAACATCTGTTGATTGTAACAATACGAAAAATTAAATCAAATATTGAAACACGCCATTAGTGTCTCAAGAAACAATGATCATTTTGATTATAAGAAGTTCAAAATCAAAATAACAAAATATACTAAAAATAAATAACAATGTCATGAGAAGCCAAAATAATTCTTACCTTCCTCCTCCTCCTCATCCTCATCCTCCAGTGCACTAGAAGATTCAGAACAACCATCCTCATCTTCCTCTGTGTCACTTTTTCCTTCCTCTTGTCTTTGTCTAGGGAAACACATGTACAAGGCACAGCAGAAAAGAGTAAGTTCAAATTTAAGGAAACTATAACGCAAGTGCCTTGGCTACTCCCAAAAAAATAATGAAAAAGAGTAAGTTAATTAATATCTTATTAGAAGAAAATCAAAATCAAATATATCCCACGAGAATGACTGTATGATAAAATATTGGTCCAATGCTTCTCATTCAAAATCCTTAAATATTTTGTTATGTGTGTAATATATGAAATTAAAATTTAAAGAAAAATACTCTAGTTTAAGTGATTGGTGTATGTCAAAATGTATGGTTTTTGTTGATAAATAATATTCAAACTGATGTATTTGTGCTTCATGAGGTTGAATACAGAGAATGATCACGATATTAATCCACTGTATTGGAAGAATACGCTTATGCATGGCATATAACCCCGACAAATGGTAATGTGACAAACTTACTAATCAAGGTACCAAACACAGCTAAACAAATAAAGCTTGTAAGTATCCTGCATAGTTAGAATAGACTACTATAATGGCATTCAATATTTTTAATAACTATAATTCGTATTCAAAACACCAGTTAAATAATACTACCTTTTCATACATGAAGCAGCAACAGCCTTATTACATGACTGTAATTGCATTAATAAATTATCATAGTTTGTTCGCTCCGTGAAAACTTCAAGTTCCTCGGTGTCACTAACTCCTACACAAAAATTCAACATAAATATACTCACCTCGAACCATCTAAGCAGTCAAGCTGTATATTTAACATAAGAAGAAAGAGAAAAGATGCAACCAAGAAACCCACCTCGTTTACGAACTAATTGCTTCCCCATTAGAATAATTATGAACTTTTTCCTTGAAAAAACTAAAGAAGACACCCAGCTTCTATGCCCGCATCAGCTTCCAGTGTTATCTTGAGACAAATAAACATAAATATGATCAATATAACTGCAAGCTGACTTTTTTTGTGTAACACCATATTCAGTATGGCTCTGTATTGTGTACATAAGATAGTAATTTGCAAGCCAGGGGTCAAAAGAGAAAAACCTTACTGATTAAATCTACGCCTGAATGTTGGAAGTTTCTATTTAGTCTCTAGAGTTCCCATTACGTCCTTAAACTTCCAATTTCAATTTCGTAGTGTGATTCGTGGGAAAGCTGCTGGGACTCTTCGTTCGTGGCTTTAGCCGCTGTGGCTGTTCGTTTGCTACAGTCGCTCGCCCCCGCCACTGCAGAACGCCGTTGTTGCTGCAGATCAACGCTGGTGCTGCTAAAGAACTCGTGGCCGTTTGCTTGCCGTTGCCGCTGCTAGTGTTCGTGGGCTGCTGGGTTTGTTTATCTCTGCTCCAGAAGGGATCCTACTGTTAGGGTTTATTTTTTCTTTTAGTTCCGGCCGGCTCGGTTCGGCTCGTGATTAGGTTAGCCAAGTTTTTGTATTGTTCACCCGGCTCGGTTTGAATCCGTTTGGTTTGCTTCAATTCGGTTCCATCATGCAGACGTAGAAGACTGTGTCTCCATTTGCCGTAGCTGTTTCCGGTATTCAGGTTAATGGTAGAATTAATTAAAAGTTTAATATACCATTAATAAACATAGAGCACAAAGACTGATATACCCTTGTATGTATATATACCTCATTGGATGTACGCATTGATATATTTACTCACATATCCTTATCATTTTAGTTTTTTTTTTGGTTGAATTATTTATTCACAATTTTAGATGAAATGCATGTATTATACGATCTAAATGAATGTCTTGTATTCTTATATGATGTTGTTATGTTTGTTGGTTTGCTTATAATTTGTTGTACTACTTAGTCAATCAATAACATCGATATACCAATGAGTATTGATATTCCAATGATATTCCTCGTATCAATATTAATATATCATATAATCAAAAAAATAAAAACACATGCACACATCTCAAATATTTTACCATATTTACAATTTTAAAAATTATTACTATGTTTACAAATATGACAAATGTTGCATCAAAAGACTGTGTGTTGGATCCTCAACTCCTACGTATGGTAAAAAAAAATAAAAAATGACAAAATTTGAGTGAGAAATTTTGATGGGTAAAGAAAAAAAAAGGTTTAAATTAAATGATAAAAGAAAAATAATGAACTGGTTGAGAGATGGTATGATGAGGAGGGCATAACGTGGATTAAAATTAAAGGACAAAATTAAAATATAAAAATTGTCTCAATTGTATATTTTGTATATAGTAGACTATTAAATATTCGAAAATCAAATATAATAGGGTAAACATCCATGGAACTTTTTGTTCAAAATATCAACTTCACTGCAAATATTTATAAAAAAAAATGTTTGATTAATTTGTGTATATACTGCTATGAGTTTAATCACAGCCATTGTATAATTAAAGAATTACAGTAATAAATTCTATTGTTTATAATATTGTAGACTGTCTTCCAAAAACCACTTATATGCTTAATTCATCGGTAATTTGATTTTGTTACAGGGTCATATGTATCAATTATTCAAATTAATTGATTGTATATACTTTATGTAGGATATTAATTGTAGAACTTCAAATTAGTAGTTTAATTCGTAACTATGAATTTAATTGATGATTCATAAGATGACTAAAGAAATATGACATATTTTTCCAGGAGTATGCATTGTTTTACTTTTTACTATTGAGGTCTATTCATTATTTTTTATCACGTGAGGGGGGAAAACAAACTGCAGTGCACAATTTTAATAAATAAATATTAGTATGAATTTCATCTGCATATTATTTTAAACATTGATCTTTAAATTTATTTTCCATTGAGGTTGTGTTGCTTTTCCAATACGTAGTTTCACATGACTTATCTGTGACAACTAGAGAAAAATAAAAATACGGAAAAAAAAATATAAAAACAAACATATTTTAAATGAATATCAGAACGATATTAATGATGCATGCAAAATTGATACAATTCATTGTTTTTGTTTATTTAGTATAACAAATCGTGACGTGGATTTGAACTCGCGATCTTTTAGCAAAAAATAAATATATTCGTTTAATAGTTAAGTTATGCTTGGCATGATAGACTTGATAGTTCAAATAGTCTACTATATACGATAAATTGTAGATTAATGTATAATGGTGTAAAACTTTATTTTTTCTTATAACACCCACATATTTGATCGTGCCACCTCATTATTTGGTTGTCAGTAGATTTCGTAAGATCTTGAATTATAAGCAGGTGGTTACGTTAATTGGACCATATTTTATTTATCGAATTCATTGTAGTTAATGATGAAATATGTTATAAAATCAAAGTGAGCATTGCTCAATAATAATTAACATATATCTCCAATCAATAAGCTCAATAATAATTGACATATATCTCCAATCAATAAGCTGAGTTCGATCCCCCACCTCCACATTTTGTACTAAAAAAATATGTTATAAAATAAATATTCGGTGTCTTTTTTAATTTTTATTTTTTTATTGTTACTGTTGGTTTTTTAGAGCCCAGCCATAAGTGTGTGGATTCTTAAAACCGGGGTAGGGGATTATTATAACAACATAATGTTTATTTTTTTTATTTAAAACAATAGATATGGTAGATTCGAACTTATGATATGTTCAAATTATTTTATCAGTTCGTCATCGAGTGAGGTAGAGAGTTGAACATACATAAAGCTTAACGAATCAAGCTATACTTCAGATTGATGAATTATACTCAGTTATATAGTTTATTCTTATTTTCTAAAAATATAAAGAGAATGTTCCTATTGAACATGTTTATTTGCAAGATGTTGTTAGATAGGTTTCAAATAACGATTGAAGCTACGATTCTTATTATTTTTACATAGTCTAACATAGCTTAAGGTCAAACGATATCCACTTATTCATTGAGATCATAGACTAAAAAAAATATTTTTCTTACGTTAAGAAGACGAGAAAAAAACTAATTTACTATTGGAAAACGGTACATTTCTTCTCATTTCGTTATTATCATTGAAGATTGAACAATCAACAAGGAACAATAGGATGAGTTGGGACAAGTCTCTCGGTTGGAAAATCAAGAATGAATAATCCCTACCATTTTTGAACAGAATCTTCCACAGTTTCCGAAAAAAGGTGATTACTTTTGTGCTGGAACTGTACTGGCAAGCGTTTAACATAACATAAGAAAATTGAATTAACATGCCGAATTAGACTAATAGGATTTCAAAACCGATTCAAAGAAATGGGGAATTAGAGAGAGAGAGAGAAATCTATGGTACAGGAGAGGGAAAGAGAGAATTGCTTCCTATCATGAAGCCCCACCAAAGGCTTTTTGGCTGTGGTTGAATAATGGACGGTGACCGACCTTTCTCTCTCTTTCTTTGCAGCCATTCCTCACAGAGCGGAAGTCAGCCTACGCCTACCCATTCGTCAATTGCCACCCCCTGACCAACCGATTTCACCCCTTTTCATCCTTTAATTTCTTTCTTTATTCTGTCTTCCATTTCAAATGCACGACGAATAGAATAATCTGCGAAGAAACAAGGAGTTTCACTGTAAAGAGTAAACGCCACCCATTTTTCAATTGCATTTACAGGTACCCATCTGTGTATTTGTTGTGTATTCGTTTCGTTCGGCGATTTTCTGTGCCTTTTTTCCCTTACCCACTGTTCATTTCATCCATTTTCACCCTTTACTGTTGTAATTTTGGGATGAGATTAAGGAATCTTCCGTTTTTCTCATTGATTAGAAAACAGAAAATCTCCTCAAAATTCCCCAAAGTAATGTAGCTTTGCCGGTAAAAGGGCTAATCGCTGTTAGTTTATATTGTGGGGTGGCTTATTTTTTTTTTCTTTGTTGCAGTTAGTGATAAGCACGCCTGTCCTTAATCATTCCCTCCATATTCTCTCTCTGAATTTGTTATTCCTATTATTTCTCCTTCTTCTTCTTCAGCCCCGCTTTCCTATTTTTCTCCTCACCTTCTTCCTCTCTCGACCGTTCTCTCTTCTGTGTTGTGAAGATTATACAAATTCTATAAGCTTCTACAAGCTAAGATTGGATCTGGGTGCCTGTATTTTTTCCTCTTATTCATATCCTTGGCGTTCTGTTCGACCAGGTACTTCAATATTTGGCTTTTTTCCTCTCTTATTTATCTTCCTCTTCTCCATATTATGCATTAACTTTGTTTATTCATCGTTTTTCTTCCAATATATTCGTCATTGGATTTTCTTAACCAACCTTTCATTATTCTGAATCCAACAAGATATTCCCATTCACTTGCTCTGTTCCTCGTACCATTGCGTTCGTGGAATATGCTAGTCATATAAACAGTAAAATATGAGATTGAGGTAACGGAATTATCCAGTTGCTGGCTGCATAACTGACCGGATATTCATATTCAAAAGAGCACGTTCAGCTTCCATGGTTCTGAATTTTGAAATTCGGGCACTGGGAAGATTTCTCCATGTGCTATTGAAAATTGAATATGCACGCTCCCCTTTATTTGTTTGGATATTACAAATTTGTTTTCAACCTTTTGACTGTTTGATTCTTATGGTCACGTCTTTGTTGATTTCATGTATTTATATTATATATCCATTCCGATGTCTTTTGTGCTTCGCAAGCTTTAAGTTTTGTGAGGTTGAGCTTGAGATACCTGGTTCTTTGGATTGTAAATTAGTTTGGCTACTTCTTCTAACTACAGTATTGATAGGGCATTATAGTCAAAAGTCAAAAGCGTCATTGCCATGTTTGGTCTAGGGAATTTTCCCCAAAACAATTAAAGGTTTTTCGTTTAAAAAAATGAATATTTCATTTATTATTTTGGTAAATAATGAAGAGACTTAATATGCTGAGGAGGTAAAACTTTTTTCAGACTTTGTTTATTCTTTCAACGGTTTCCCTCGTATCAATGAAATGGTTGATTGTAATGTCTTGTTATGAGCATCAAATCATTTAAACCGAACCATACTATTGAAAAGGTATTGTGCTCGAGAATATATATGCTTACATTCAGAAGTAGGAGAAATATTGGTTACACGAGAAATTGTGAGAAAGGACAGGGAAAACTGAAAAGATTTTAATTTTTGCCTATACTGCAAAAGTTTAACTCATTAGGATAGATAGGTTGCAAGAATATATAGAGGAAGAGCAAATCCTTTGGGAGCCAAGTGAGATGCTGACTTGCCAGCACTAGAGTGGAGAAATCTTTGTGAAAGCATGAGGTGTAAAGGTTTAGTTGGAAGGAAATTAGACGAGCTTTCTTATTTGAGACGACATTTACTACAATTTGGAAAGATACTAGAGGTAGGAAATAGGAATGAAGAGGGAGTATATACCGGGATAGAGCAATAGAGTGGAGGAGAG